CGGTGGAGTCATGACAAGGATCTGACCTCTCGTCGCACCAGCTGGCTCAAGGCCAAGCGCGACCGTCGCCGGTAGCCCTGCAGGTTCGAGCGCAGCAAGGCGCGGAGCTTGCACTCGTTAGGATGGCCACCCCTGTCCTCAAAGCCTCGGAGGCAGCCGATCACTATCGATGGCTCATGCAACCGCGCGTGCCCTGCGGCCCTGAGATGTTCAAAGGCCGCGCGGGCGCAATCCTAGGAGACCGCCCACCTCACGCCACCCATGTTTCCAGGGAGATACGCATCTGTCACGCTGTAGATCTCATCCCATCCGAACAGTGGCTGCCAAAGCAGAGGGCGCCAGTTTGCGGGACTTGCTCTGGCGGCATAAGCACGCGCTTTGCAGGCAGGGGTCTTCGCGGGACCTGCCCACCCCCAACCCCACCACCACCACCCCCACGCGCGCCAATTGCCCTCGCGGCATCTCGCAGCGTGTTATTGCCAAGGAGGTAGCGCACATCAGGTGGAATCAGCTCCTCTACGAATCTGCTCGCAGGACTTGGTGAGGCTACGCGTGGACTGTGGCCTGGCCACGACGGCAGGATGCAAAGGCTGCCAGGCCATTAATAGGATGCACGGTGAAGTATGGGTCCCTGGACAGCGCACACCTTTGTGCGTCATGTGCAACACGGAAGAAGACGAATGCCACTTCTGCCGTGCCCCACTTCACTGTCGCCCATGTTCCCCAACCATGATTCGGCAGTTCAATGTCTCCCAGGGTAGGGGGGGGCGAGGCCGACGAGACGTTCAAGGGCGACACCGCGCCGCGAACGGCGGCGCGACCTGGTCTGAGGCCACGCCTTGCCCGCACCCATGCTCTGCAAAATAAACGATTCGAGGGCTACCATTACCAATCTTTGGCGCGGTGCAGCTGGCGGGGGTGCCCCCCTCGTTCCGCCCTGGTTGTCTCCTCCCTTCTGCTCTCTTCCTTGCGCGCCACTGCATGTCCTTGCTGGAACCTTTTTGCGACGTTGCGACATCGCTTGTCGGCGCTCTTTGCCCGTGCCCCCACTCCGCGAAGTGACCGACGGCGCGGTGCGTTTATTCTTCGCGCCCCACAGTTGCCTCGCGGCCTGTCCCACGGCGCCGCTGGCGGGCCTGGCCGCATTAGCGTCTCGTCGCCTCAGGCGGGGAGGACCTGTTGGCCTCCCTGCTGGCCTGTACCATGGGGGGGGTCCTCTTGGTACTCGGCCGTGTTCTGCCTTGCCTACAACACCCATGTTTTTGTCCTAGCTCATGGCTTCTTGCGTTCCACTCGGCTGCGCGTGGAAATCTTCTCGCGCCACCTTGCGTCGCAATTTTCTGCATGTACTCTGGACCTGGCGTTAGCCTTATCGCCTCGCCGCCTGCGCCCCAGCAGGGGCGTGGGTCGGCTTGGCCGCGGCCCGCCTCTCAAGTGCTGCGTGCACTTGGCCGCGCTTGAGCTCTATATTGCGCTCCACTCGGTTGCACGAGGCAATTTCCTCGTGTCACCCTGTCTTGTAGCGCCCTTTTTCCGTCTCTCCTCTGGATTTGGCGTCGGCCTTACCGCCTCGCTGCCTGCGCCCCGACATGGGTCGTGGGCCGGCTTGGCCGCGGCCCGCCTCTCGTTGTTGCGTGCTCCCCAGGTCTCGCCTTGGGGTTGCTCACTTCAGCCTCGTACTGCGCCATGCTCTCTTTCTGATGGCCAACTGCTATACTTCCTTACCGCCTTAGGCGGGAGGGCTTTTTGGCCACCTGGCTGGATTGTACCTCTGAGGTAATTCGCGGTACTCGGTCGGGCGCTGCCTTGCCTACATCATCCACGCGTTGCCCGAGGCACTGGTTTACTTGCGCCGCTCTCGGCGCGGCAACTTCCACGTGGCACCGTTCGTGGTCGGCGCCTTTTTCCATCTGTCAGCTAGACCGGCGGCGGCCTTACCACCTTGCTGGTTGCGCCCTGGCATAGGGCAGGGGCCAGCATGGCCACGGCCTTTTAATGCTTTGCATCCTGGCGTCGCACCTGGGCGTGCGCGTCCGCAGCAGAACTGTTGCCCCTGCTGGGCTTTCAGCTGCATGTCATCTTGCTCTGCCGGTAGATTTCCTCCGCGGTGGTTCGTCGGTCCCATCCCTTTGGGTCGCGGGGTCGCTCGGTCTTCGCCGTCGTCGGTCGGTCGCGGGTCGGCCGCGTCGTGGGGTCTTCCGCCGTCGTCTCTCCGGACTCCTCCCTTGTTTTTGCTCTTGCTGCGTCCCCCATTTTTCCCTTCTTATCCTTCCGGGTCGTCCCCTCAGGTGGGGTGTCCCATTTGCGGGTTCGCTTTGCTCGTTTCCTCTTTTACTCTGTCGCCAGTTCGTCGGGGTGGTGCATTGCGGTGATGCGTACAATTGTTTTTGGGCTAGATGGTTGCCCCATCTTGCTTGGCGTTGCGTTCACCTGCCTCGCCAGTAACCCTTCGCGGCTCTGGTGGCGGTTGGGGTTTGCCGTTTTAACGCTGGCGTCTGCATTGCACGTTCGGCCATGCTCGCGCCCTGTCCACCACCCACGGCGGTCGCCCGCGTTCAGCTCTGTGTTTTGTCTGTCCGAGGCCAAGCCAGCCTCGGTCGCGTGAGCATCTCTATCACGCCGACTCCACGCACCCTGTTGCACTGTCGCTCAATCCGTGACTTGCTCGTTGCACGGTCAATGGCTTTGCTTTGTCGCGCAGTTCCCCAGAGTTTATGCACCGCCACCGAGTTGGCTGGCGTGGCAGCCTTACAGGTATGTTTCGCTGCTGACTCTCTGAGGCTTCAAGTAGCAACAGACTGCTGATTGCGCTTCACACTACCCGCGTCGTGCTTATGTTCCTCGGGTCGTTTAGCCGCTGCACTTCCGTTTTCACCACCAATATGCATGGCCGTGACTGGACTCTGTCATCATGGCGCGTTCGACGAAGTTCGTTCGCAAGTGGCACCTCCACCTGCCGACCGCGCCTGAGGTCTCTCTGCGCCGCCGACTTAAAAGTGTGTGAATGTGTGCGCGTTGGTGTGGAATCCTATGTGTAATCCCGCGTGCGTGCATCTTTGTGTGGAAAGCAGAGCCATGATAATGAGGGCCATTGGGAGGGGAAGCCATACGAGGGTCACGCAAAAACAAAAAGCGCGGTGTCCAGGACCAGAAACCAAGCCATGGGAGACCGAGCAGCCACCAAAAAGTGCGCGACAGAGGACCAGTGGCGAGAAGCCATCAGGAAACCAGATGACAAGCCAAGCTATAGAAGTCCAAGAGCCCACCGAATGCAGCATCTATAGGAAACCAGTGGTGCGAGAAGCTACAAACAAAAAAACAGATGGCAAGCCCGTTAGAACGCAGGTAAGGACCTCCTGACTGCAAGCACTGTTTGGAGGAATAGACCCTGGATGTACTTCTGGGAAGCGGACTCGGGACGGCGGGGTGTATTGCAGCATCGTTGTTGCAACTTGGGCTCACTATGGCCCTCTTAGCCGAAATGTTTACTCCATCCACTCCTGTCCTACCTGCAAAAAAACATGCAAAATCTACACTTGTCCTTTCAACAGGAATGGAATGCGGTGCACACTGCGCTCGAGTAAACGGAATCGCGTTCTAGACCCAAGGCCGCGCAAGTTGTTCCTGAAAGATACGTTCCCACTCGGGCAGTGGGTACCCGCGCTGCCGCCGAGGGCGGCTGGCTAGCTGCTGATGGCCCCGCAGCGGGCTTGGGGCGCCAATGCTGAGCTTAGCAGGCTGATTGACGGACGGTATTGAGAAACCGCCTGGAGGTGCGCTCCGGCGCGCCCGGCTGAGTACGGTCTAGCTCGCCTCGCGTCGGCCGTGCTGCCGCGCTGCGTAGGGCGGGGGGCGTGCTGCGCTGCGCCCCAACCTTGTCCTCCTCCTCTTCCTCCTCCTCCTCTTCCTCCTCATCCTCCTCATCATCATCAAAGTCATCACCATCATCACCATCATCATCAGCACCAGCAGCATTATCTTCCTATCTTCCCCCCTCTTCCTCGGCCACTCGGCACTCTGCGAATGGTAAATGTGTTCCCGCCTGGACGCGGCACCTGTTTTTATCGACAAGCAGAAGCTGGCCTGCACACCCGCGAGCGGAAATGTAGCTTTTGTCTCCAAGCCAGAAAGCTCAGAGAATTGGGTTCCGCTTGGAGTGTGGCGCGTGCCTTCCATTGCCACATGGTCAGAAACGGGGCCGCACGCGTGCGCAAGCGCTTTGCGCTCGCTGGTTTGCAGCGCGTGTCTTTCCCATTTGTTACTTACACTGCTAGTTCCCCAACAGTGCTTGCACCAAGAGCCTCCTATTTGCGTGCAGAGGACTTGGGAAAGATGGCTGCGATGTTCGCATGACTGTCTTGGTGCTCTATGGGTGGTGATTTCTGACCCGCACTTCATGATGTTTGATGGTTGCGTGTATTACATGCTTGACCTGGCAGTATGCGGGTGCTGCTCCATGGCTGGTGCCCCATGACGCCTGTGAGAGTTGCGACATTCGCTTTCTTGCCCTGGTGCTCTGTGAGAGCTGTTGTATGGTTGGTGCCATCAAGCGCCTTTCAGGGCTGCGATCTTGGAGTTATTGCCAGAGCTTCACGGGTGGTGCTCGATGGCTTGTGCCTTAGGGTGCCTCTGAGGATTGCGGCTTCCGCGCTCTTGCCCTGATGCTCCCTGGGTGGTGCTCTGTTGCTGGTGACCTGCGATGCCGCTGATGCTTGCACATTGAGGGCTCAAGAAGGCAGATCCCGATGGCTCGTTCGAACTGGCCAACGTGACTCCGAATTCCACTTACAATCGGCCTGTATCATAAGGATGCGCAATCAGGATTCAAGGGCCTTGGACGCCCATTTCGAAGCTGTTCGAGCGGGGCGCGGCCAGCGAAGGTGGCCAAGGATGGACCCAGAAGGCAAAGATGCAAGGGTACCCTTAAAAAGGCTGCCCATCCTTATTATGAGAGTTGACTGTAATATGTGCCCTAACGCCGACAGCCTGGATTCTCAAGCTCATGCTGCTCTCTGGAGCGCCTCGAGCATATCACTGTAACCTGTGCAAATACTGCCTTTGAAACCTCTGTTCTCGAGAAGCCCCTCAAGCACCTCATCAGCGTCACAGTCCTGACCCTCTTGGTACGAGTTGCTCCAAATGGGGTGCCAATACTCATTCATCACCCTCGTTGTCTGGGCGGCATCGTCGACGAGAATACCCCATTCTGCCAAGTTAGATTGGTAGAGGTTCTGGGAGCCCAGGTAGTAACATGTATCATCAAGAATGAAGAACTTTGAATGCAAGCCGATGTTTGCGCCGTCCGAGTAGGTGTTCTTGCGACCGCGCCTGATGTAGCACAGGTGAAGGTGTTCCTGAATTGTTTTCCGCAACTGGTCATCTTCCAATTGGTCCTTTATGGTCTTGATGATCTCGGCGGCGACGTCAGCACACGTCCAGCCGAAGCCGTAACTGCGATCACTCCAACCGAGATCGCCAGGGATGGAGCCAGGATTGGACAGCACCATTTCGACGCGAACGCCACGCAAGATGGCGCGGCCGATCGCTTCGAGGTAAGCCGCGGGCCAGGGAAACACCGTCACCCTCTGGAGTCCTGGAGGGGTGGGAGGCCCAATGTCCTGTATCACAAAACGCATGGCATGCTTGGCAGCTCCCATCATCGCAAGGAAAGCGTCATCAGCGGCTTGAGAATTATTCACGATAGAGCCATAGCGGCCCAGCGTAATCATGGGCACGCACCCTTGTCCAGTTTCATACTCAAGGGGGACGCGCTCTTTGGCGTACGCGGGAGGGAATGTCTCTGTCTTACCGTCCTCCGGGAACTCGCTCACTGCGACTTGGGACTGCAAGGGCAAGGGTATGCCATCGTGGAGCTTGTCGACGACCCACCCGACGAAGCTCGACTGCGTCTTCCTGATGAAGTCCCAGTGCTCGTTCATGAAAAGGTGTGCGTCGTGGGTGCACTGTCCATACGCCTCCATTGAGATATCATGCAAGGGATTGCGCCTGAGATAATCCCCGTCCCATAAATTGTGTCCCCCCTGATGCAAATCCGCCACCGTGTCGTAAGCACCAAGTGAAGTGTCAACAGAATCCGTGGAGTCCTCTGCTTCAAGTACTGTACTGGGCCAGATTTTCTTGGCCGCCCCGCAGGACTCTGAGAGCTTGTCGCGTGAATTCTCCAGAGACCAGAGAGCACCAAGACGTGCCACGAGGGTCCCAGGAGGGCCTCAAGACTGTCCAAGCGGGAACCGAGTCGGCCAAAGAGCGCCCCAAAACGCCCAGGATGCCCACCAAACGGGCCAGGAGGCCGCAAATACGTCCCGAGAGGGCCCCAAGAGGGCCCTCAAGAGGCCAAAACGCTAAAACCATTGATGCTAGATGAGTGTTCGAAGGATGTTGGCATGCTCGTGATTTCGAGCTTGATGGCTCCCACGAATGCCCAAGAGGCGCCCAAGGTCGCCCGAACACGGCCCAAGAGGCCCCCGAGAGAGCCACAAGAGGTCCCCAAGAAGCCCTGGACGGCCCAAGCGGTCCTGAAGAGGCCCCAATAGGGGCCAAGAGGGGGAAGTCGAACTGGCCTTGGGAGTCATTCCTTCCAAGAAAACCCTTTAGATCCAAAATATGTCTGGAATAGCTCCCCAGAAGCGCTCAAGACTCCAAGCTTGCAAAGGGGTGGCTGGCGTGCCAGACGTTCGAGCAACTAGTTGCCCTTCCAAAAACCTCCCAATGGCCTTCGGCCGTTGCGCCGGCCACCCAGAACGCACCTCAAGGCCAGGATGACCCAAGATGGCCTTCAAGATGGTCCCAAGACGCTTCCAAGACGGCCGAAACTTAAAGATGCCTCCAGGACGACCCAACATGGCCCCAAGCTAGCTTCAAGACGGCCAATGAAATCCCAAAACGGCCAGAGAAGGTTGTGGGAGGCTCTGAAGAGGTCAAATTCGCAATTTGTCTTCAGATGTTTGAAGGATTCCCGCGTTCTCGCATTCTCGTGTTTCCGATAGCCTGTGCCGGCCCCGGAGGCCTCCAAGATAGCTCCATGATGGCCCAAGAAAGCCCTAATAAGGCCCAAAAACGGTTTAAGAGGGCCTCAAGGCCCCCAAGACGACCCCAAGAGGGCCCCAGGACGGCCCACGGTATCTTCAAGACGACCCAGAGACGGCCCAAGACGGCCTCCGAAGGCGTCAGACGGGCCAAGAGAGCCCTAAGACGGCCCGAGAGGCCCCAGAGGAGACCGAGGAGGCCCCCAACAGGCTCCCCAGAAGCCCCCAAGAGAGGAAGCCCAAAGAGGGCCCCAAGAGGCCCCGACGAGACCTCATCCTCCCCCTTGTCGTCCTCATTCTCCTGCCCTCTCCTCCTTCAAGCCCTCTCCTCCTCCTCCTCCGTAGCCATTTGGGCTCAAGCCCCGCTTGGCCCCCGAGCGGGGTCCAAGCGGGGTGCCAGCCCCAGGAGCCTGTCTGGCTCGGTGGCTCGCCGCCCTTCGCGCGTGGGTCTCCCTCGGGGCGCGCGGCGGGGCGGGGTGGGAGAGGCACGCCGTCAGCGGTGGCGGGCGACGAACCATCCGGCATTTTGTCGGCGCACGGGGCAGGGCTGGACTTAAACGTCGTTTCTCGTTTTGTGCTCGTTCTGCTGCACGTTTTGCCCTACCTTTTTTCCTGCACCTCCCTCCCAAAACGAAAAACAAAACACAGCCGAAAGGTCCAGCCCTGGCATGGGGCCGCCTTCTCCCCTAACCTCCGGCGTCCCTCCTCACCGGTGGCCCGGGGCGGTTGGACGGCGGCGGCCAGGCGGCGTGGCTGGAGCCAGTCGCGGAGGCGGGCGCGGCCTGACGGGCGACGGCGGTGGCGACTCGCAGGCTGGAGCAGGTGGCGTGCTTCCG